ACATTCATTTCAGCAATTATTTCTAAATATATCAAGAAAGTTTGGCAGAAGCAGATCCATTATCTTCCTTCATGGATACAATACGTGATATATTTCATATTTTGCGTCCATCCTCGACTATAGATCCCCGAATATTAAGTATGCGTATGAAACTAGATCAAAGTACAATTCTAGCTATCTGAAACGCCAACATGATTCGAAATGTGATGCATTATCAGATGTAAGGGTGTATACCACTCCATTATAAACAACAAAAATTGCAGAACAACATTTTTTTCTCTAGCCTTATTATCCTTCAAGCAAAGGAAGATACGATATTGAGAAAGAAGTTTTGTTGAAAGAAAGTTGATAGAAACGAATGTTTTCCAGGAATAGTCCATAAATGAAGCAGGAAACGAAAATTTTTGGCACTCCAGAAAGTCGAAGACTTAAAGTTCATAGTTCTTCTATATGAACCAGAATACACCAAAAGATCAGATTTTTTGAAAATCAAACAAAGATAGCTCTCAAAACTCTGTGTGTAGACTTAAAAACAAATGTTAAGCAACCTGAAATATAGGATGATGGTCTTGGGAAACGGCCAGAGAATATTGAAGAATGATTGAAATTTTTGAGCACGACAACAGAATTTCAAACACTTTTGAATGCCCAGATATAAAAGTGTGGGATGAGATATATGAATAGCGCTAAAAGTGTCATTCCAAGCAATAATTTTTTTATTCTTTCAATATAACTGCTCTAATTCTGTGGAAAATTAGTTACAGACATCTAATGACTAAATTGATCAGACAAAACTTATTGACGAAAAAGGTATCCAGTTTTGGAGTGTAGGAAAAGTTTTTTAAATCAAATAAATTATCGGAAAACTTCAAATTTGAGTCTTTACAATCTTTCACAACATTCCTCATCTATTCGTTATGTCAAGGACCAATATCTCACTTCATATATTTACATTTCTCTTCAATCAACCCAAATCAATTCGAACAAATTCACGAAATGGAAGCCATTCTAATTTCTTAATTCCTAATCCCGTCAGAACCGTTTTAGACTCGCCCGGATCAAATTCATCATTCTCGTGGCTTATCAATTTATTAACAAATGAGAATCGATAGTAATGCGTTCACTACTATCATTAGCATCATTTTTATATCGCTTTTGTTTGTATTTTATTGTACCCGAGGCCGGGTCGGCTAATCTCCATCGACTGAGAGAGCGATCAATCATTATATCCGATTCAAGGAATGAAAATGAATCGATACAGGTCTTACGAGGTGTTTCGATTCGATAGACGCTGGAAGTGATTTGGATTTTGTGATGGATTTCTTGCTGATGCCGGTAAAAAGAGTTGCCTGGGAAAATATTTTGTTCGACGTTAACACGTTTGTTTACTGAAAAGAAAATGGAATCATTAGAGCCAAAATGATAGTCGACATAAAATGAATCCAAAATAATCAGTTTTCCCAATCACCAGTTTTCTCCAGAAGACGCCAACTTGGTTGTTCAAACGTTTGAAAGACTATTGCAGTTCTGGTGATTGGGAATAGTGCTCATTTTGGATATAGTTCTGAAGTATCAGAGTCTTGTTCTTCAAACAACTACCAAATGTTGAGCTTCAAGTTGAGTGATATTATTTTGAGTGTATTTGTTAAAATAAATGAATAAATGATTTTATTTTCATTTTAAATGAACAGTGGGTTCAAAATACCAACAAGAAGGCCTTAAAAACTACTTCAAAATTCCAGTTGAAGTCAGTCTTCGCCTATTTTGTTTCGAACTATTTCTTCCAAATGCCATTTCGTCGATATAATTTGAATTGTGCAGAAATGTGCATTTCAAATATCAAATGCATACGTAATTTTTGAATTTATTAATTTGAATCCCAAAAATGTTGGGGAACAGATATGGCATATCCATAAGAATGTTTCGATTGCAATAGAAAAATTATATTTCCAACCTTTGGTTGATGAAATGTAGTCTTTTTTAAAAGAAAAATTTCGAAGTCAAACTCAAATATCCAGAAATATAAATAGAGCTACTGCTAAATTGGAAATTATATGATTATTACTGTAGTTTCAGTTCAACAACAAACCGTTATTTTTACCAACTCGACAACTGTTTCGATCATCAAGTAGTGATCATCAAGTAGTGATCATCTTTTTCTTGAAGATGATCACTTCCTCTTGAAAATGATCACTTGGTGAGAAACACATGTCGAAGTGTTAAAATAACGTAATATTCATTACTACAGTAATATTCATTACTACACCAAAGATTTCAAACAGTACAAGGGAATTATATGTCTGCAATGAGTTAATCCTATTACTACTCTAACTGTTCTGGTGATTTTATTACAATTACATACCATTTTAAAAATCCACTAAAGTGATCGTCACAAATCACACCTCAAAGGATTATTGTTTTGAAAATATTTATACTTCTATATCTATCTCTCTCTATCATCATGAAAACAAATAATTTGGAAAAAAAATCTTCTCAGATTCAAATGTTTTAATATGACTTCACGCTCATAGATACCTAAAAAAACTCATAAATAAGTGTATGGTGATCCAATAAAAGCTATCCAAAGTTAGCGGTAATTGCTATTACAATCTTGCGAAATCATTTACTTACTCATCACGTGTGCAACAAAGTTATATAAAAACAAAAAAAAAACGTAATATTGATTCGAAAGTCATTACCTACTAGATTTTCAGCATGTGAACGATTAAATCGTCTCATAAAGCAAGTCTTAATGATACGAAACCTCACGAAACGGGCAAAGCTACAACATTAATTGCTTAATCTATCAGATAACACACCCATCTTCACTCAACTCACATTTCTACGAGCTCACGATAAAAATGCGGGCCTGGTGGCCGGAATCCATAAGTTATCGGTCCAAATTTATAAAAGCTACCCTAAAATTTTAAAAAAACTTGTTTCAATACGCTTCGGTTCGTGAAGAGAAAAACAAATAAACATTCTTCCAATTAGAAGATGATAAGATCTCGTAGACGAAGAGAGTGAGTATGGTATTGACGATCTGTAAATAATTGAGAACATCTGAAGAAGGAAGGTAATTTATATTAGTTTTAGGACAATGGCCATGCGTTGAGCAGTCGTTGAAGAACACATATTTTCACTATTCACACATTATTAATGTTTTGCTGCCGAATCAATTACCGAATCATTGTTTCATGCACTTGTTTCATCCACTCAATCGACCGCTGTGTGAATAGGTGGTTCAAGCCGCAGGCCGAACGATCTATTTTCACTTGCTATCGTCCTACCCGTGTTAGGAATTACACGTTAAAAGTTAAGACCTCGTTAATCCTTAACTCACACAAGTTTCGACTTCTGAGAGTTGTCGTTCATAGGAGGGTGACAGCTGGTTAACGGAAAAAATTTGGAACAGATATTTTGAACAGATTTCTTAAACAGATTCAGAAAATATGTTGAAAAAGTCACTTAGGTCATTCACTCAACTGTTTCATGTCACACAATAATCTTCTTTCACAAACTGTGACAGTTCATATTACCAAAATTGATACACACTTGTACCTATATCTATCTATTGAATGAAATAATCTGAAAACAGAAAACACTGTTTTTCCAAATAACCACTCAAGCGGCCAATACACTTAGCATAGCATGGAGTGTTCTTCAATAATACTGAAAATATGAATAGTTTGCTGTGTCGAGGCTATTTTTGAGTTTGTTGGTCGTGTTCTGCAGATTTTACATGCCTGAAAATTGAGATGTTCAATCCAACATTCAAATAACATGAAAAATTGCCGATAATCCAATAGAAATTATGTATTATATTTTGGACGACAGACATTTGGTAATTGCTTGCAATTACACTTGGTCTTATTGGAGTGATACAACATTTTATTTCATTTAGTTTCTTTCTATGTCACGTTAACAATTGTAACTTCGTAATATTATTTTTTGAAATTGTTTATAGTCGGTGGATATTTCATGTGAGAATTGTATGTACTCAGTTTTTATTAAAAGCTTGATTCAAATATCACAATCAAGAGCTGGAGTTCATGAATATGTTCTCAAATCATATTTTATAACATCCACATTCATAACAATCATGGACTATATTATATAAATATAATACAAATATAAGCATTTTGACATTTTTAAGAAATTAGCAACAAAATTACGACAGCAAACTCTTGACAAGTTGAAATTTTATTTCTCTACATCATGAAGAAAAATATTGACCATTATACTGAAGTCACCTCACTTGTAATTATTTCTCACACAAGTACTGTAATAAACAAATCAGCAGCAACATCCAAGCTGTCAGAGAAGGCAATTAAAAAAAAATTCATTAAAAACTTCCAAGAACTTTGAACACGGCACATATTACTCCTACAGTGGACGTTTGGATGTTTTAACAAAACACGAATAGCAGTGGCGTACAGGGTAATAATAACATCAAAGCGAATATAGTTTCGCTAAAATCCATCGTAAAATCAATTACCCTATGTTATCTTCCCTTAGTAGTTGCTAATTTGCAACGCTCACGCAATATCCCACAAAAGCTTTCCTTACCTTATAGTGTATGTGCTCAATAAGCTGTCAATCAATTTTCATTAGCTTGCATGACTTATGAATGGTATATTAATTAACGATAATGAAGGGTAATATGGAAATGTTTTGAATTTTTTCAGAAATCAACGCCTTTTTTTGTAAATCTATCATTCTTCATTCTACTCTTCTCGAGATCAATCTTTTCTCATTTTATTCTTTCTGGTTTTACATTAAATTTATTCTAATTTTGTATTCATATTTGACATATGCAGTAGAATTTTTTTCATTTCATCCTTTTTCCAATCTCGAAATCAATGATCCAATCTGATGTTCAAAGATTATATTTGTCTTTATTTTTCTTTCGATTATGCATGTTTTAGAACATATTTACGAGTATTTTCTGGAGGATAGTTTTTCATTTATTCATTCTTCTATTATTTTGTTATATTTTCAATATACATATCTGAAAAAAAATATACGTACGGAAATTATTTCAATTTTGAAGAGGCTAAACTAGAAGTTTGCCTACAACTTCATAAAGTTACAATTTTGAATTTCATTCATTTTTTCATCCTGTGAAAGTAAAATTACAGGAAGTTCAAATAAAATCTCTGATTTTCTTTCTCTTGTACATTATCGATTTTAGAATAAATTCTGATAAACATTTTGTTTTGCTCAAATCAAGAAAAGTACACTCAAATATATTGGAAATTGTTGTATTTTAAACTGTTGTATTTATGTTGATAAAAATTAAATAGGTAATTTATTGAAAATGTTACCAAATCCACTCCAAAATATATTTTTTCCGGGATTACATCTGCAAACAAATTTCCAAAATGGAAAGTTTCGTAAAAAATACTATTTTGAAGTTGAATTGAGATGTTCAATCCAACATTCAAATAACATGAAAAAGTTTCCATACCTTCAACCTCACAATCACAAAAATCCAAACTCATGATAGCTGAATCCGCAAATTGCAAACCCACAACAAATTCTATCTTCCAACTTTCATACCCAAAAGATCCCCTCAAACGAACAATACCTCCTAACTAATTATCTTCTTGAAAGAGTTCAAAAATCATGTCTTAGGTATATATATGGTATTAGAAAATATGACAGAGTTTTATATAAACTTAAGGAAACCAATTGGAAAATAGACCTTCTTCCATAAAATATTAATTAACAATGTCATCATATTTGTATGACAAAATAAGATTTCGTAGTGATGTACATACTTTAAATTTGAGGGTTACTTTCTCTTCCGCCCCATCGAACCACTCTATATCGACGATCCTTCAGTTATAATATATATATAGTTTATATAATGATATTCCATAAAAATATAAAGTTAGTAAAGCTTCCTTATGCAAGTTCTGTTACAAAAAATATCTCGTCACTGATACTTTCATACTTCTGAAATCACTCAATCGACCGCTGTGTGAATAGGTGGTTCAAGCCGCAGGCCGAACGATCTATTTTCACTTGCTATCGTCCTACCCGTGTTAGGAATTACACGTTAAAAGTTAAGACCTCGTTAATCCTTAACTCACACAAGTTTCGACTTCTGAGAGTTGTCGTTCATAGGAGGGTGACAGCTGGTTAACGGAAAAAATTTGGAACAGATATTTTGAACAGATTTCTTAAACAGATTCAGAAAATATGTTGAAAAAGTCACTTAGGTCATTCACTCAACTGTTTCATGTCACACAATAATCTTCTTTCACAAACTGTGACAGTTCATATTACCAAAATTGATACACACTTGTACCTATATCTATCTATTGAATGAAATAATCTGAAAACAGAAAACACTGTTTTTCCAAATAACCACTCAAGCGGCCAATACACTTAGCATAGCATGGAGTGTTCTTCAATAATACTGAAAATATGAATAGTTTGCTGTGTCGAGGCTATTTTTGAGTTTGTTGGTCGTGTTCTGCAGATTTTACATGCCTGAAATTTAACGGTAGTCTTTATCAAAAGCGATGAGATAACGGACGCAGTGGTGGTTTGGTTTCTTTCCTATTGGTTGGGTTTATTGGTCTGAGCTCCGTTGAGTGCAGGTAGTCAGGCTTCGTTCATGTTACTCCCCTCTTTTTTTCTGTTGAAATTGTCTCTGAGCTTGTGAATTTCTATCGCCTCCCCATAATATTTGATAGCTGTTTCAAGCAATTGAAAATTTTCATACGCAATAATCTGACATAACCAGACACAGTCGTTATTCAATACCATTTCATTATTTGAAATGACCACGACACCGATGAGATATTTGTATTTTCCAAGAATTCTGAGCATGTTCAATTATCCCTTATTTTCCAATCCCAGACAATGATGTGGTTATTTTCGTCCATTGAAGTGAGACAAAACGTTGTGTCTTTGCTGCTCATCTTCTCCATTCACATCGCTATCGTGGTGAGTTATAAATCACTTTTTCGCTGAGCTGGAGAATGGAATTTTGAAAAAATTGTTGAAATTAAAAATTTGTGTCTAGTAACTATTCTATCTACTTTTTATTTAAGTCATTGCAGGTTCTCGGCATTGCAACAGAGTAGGCAAAAAATATATGCTCTGCAGATTCACCACCTTCCAGATAGACTAACAGATTTTCTGAAAGGTATAAGTAGGCCTATAAGCGAACGTAGTCATCCCTACCACAGTTGAACAATTGTTTGACGGCAGTTTTTGAAATATGTTTAAATGTCTTGGAATGGACCAATCCTGGTAGATTTTTGTAGAGCTAAAGGCTGAAACTCTTTCCAAATTCGTGGAATTCAGTATTTATTCTGGTCCGATAAAGCCGCTTGCACTCCCCTCCCTTGCAAGGGAGTCAGCAGCTTCTTTATATTTCAGGTCAATGTAGCCAGAAATCCAGATTAGAGACATTTTGTTAAGTATTCCTAATGAGGAAACAACTTAGACATTGCTTCTAGAGCAATTTGAATATCTGAGAAAATTTTTATTGAATTATGTGTTGATTTCCACAAGGCAAGTTGATATATGTATCCTGGGACTGTACATAGATCCATAGATAGTTCTGCATGTTTGTAGAGATGGTATGTCTTTATGTAGAACTTTTTCGCGAGTGAGCGTCCTAGATGAGTTTTTCATCAAAGATAATACCTAGATACTTCATTTCTTCTCCATATAACTCTTTGATTGATGGAAAGTGGGGTTGAATGATTCAGGTTTCGTTTTGATATTGTGAAATCCATGTCTCACAAGACGTACACTGTGTAAATAACAAGTAAGGGTAAATGTAATCATGATATACTCGGGAGTTCAAAATGATATGTCATAACCTTCCAGAAAACAATGATATGGTTGTACTATTCATATAATATTGCTTACATCAACTATTGATCCCGGAAACGATTCACAAGCAATAAAAATATTCCCAGAGATATCGAATCAGTTAAAAAAAATGGCATCACCTTCCAGTATCACATAAAATCCCAAGACCACCGTGTACAATGGATCAATCTATCCATTTCAAGCATATTAGTCATTAACTTTTTCTTTTCAATCATGCGAACGATTTTTCCTTACGCCCGTAATAAATTAATGCAGGCAATGTCGAACTTCTTGACGTGTGAATTAATATAAAGCGGAAAGAAAAAAGTTTATGCAACATCCATTAAGTAGAAGGATTTATGTTACGACGACAGAATGGATAAAGGTAACATAGTTAATTTTCGAATCGTTCACCCAACCTCATCAATAATGCATGAACAGTTTTATTGTGCATTGAGATAATATAGGCTCCTTGAAGATACGCACTTCAACTGACTCAGATGGAAGGGGGTAATTTGACGAGGAAATGTATAGAAGAGAGATAAGCTGGTGCTTGTGACCATAGGAGACGATGGTGATAACCAGGAATTTTAGAGGACTATTTTGGACAGGAAGAAGCCTGAGTATATTCGAAGTAACCTTTATTGTGAATACTTAAAGCTATCGGCATCTCAAAGGCCAAAAAACCAATACAGAAAAATAATGCCGCTGCTAACTATTCCACGTGGACTGAAGAATTGGCCGTTCGTATTGAATAATTTTTACTACCTAACTGATTTTTATGATTGACTGACGAGTCATAAAATTAAATTTGAAGTCATGTTACGGTGACGAATAGAATGTGGGGATGAGTATCCCCGTTGTGTTGTCATTGTTCAGTTCAGGAACTGATCACGATTCGAGTGTTGAAATTCGATATTGGTGCAGTTATAATTACTAAAAATATTTGTTATCTCTGGAAAAATCCATAGTATTGTGAACTTTTCATCGAAATTATTGTGAATAATTAAAATTGTTGATTTGGATTTTTCTCCTCTGGCATCTATATAATACGAAATATGTGTTTTTGATTGAACTTCATGGAGGTTACCATATGCACTCATTTCATTTTTCATACAACGTTTCGTTACTTAGGGCTACCGTCATTATTTTTTCCCTGTTCTTCGACTCACAATGCCTCAAAATTGCACTCGATGATTTAATTGGTTTTTGCACTAACCGAATCTTATACAGATAAAACTTTTTATTCTGAACTAATGCAGTTTCCCGAAATTTTGACGCCAAATCGCCAACCCAGAAAGACATCTGTCAGGAATCTGTTAGCAAGCAAATTCCCGAGGAATTCATCTTCCACACACATTTAGATTGATTTGATATATTTTCATTTGGAATATATTCAACTTTTGACATGTTTTTAAATTTCTGTAAAAAGTGCTTTCCGTAACAGTTATGCCTCGTGGTACGTTTTCAATAATTTTGAAGTTTTTTTAAGTAATATTGGTGAATATTCAGCGACTCAAAACTTTTAGTTTTTTTCATGAAACATGAATACATTTCGAACTGATTCGACTTTGATGATGAATGACCTAGTTTGCAAATATTAGCAAGTAAAACTAGCAAATATACTTATATCAATAACAATAATGAATGATTTTATTGAAAAATTAATCGGTACAAGAGATACTAACCTGACCTAACAAAAAAAAATGGTCTTAGCTGTCCCACTGGCCTAAGTAACCCCTATTTACGGTATGTTTCCATAATATTCTGATCAAATGAATGAAAACATCCGTTTCATTTGACCAAGGAAAAATTGACAAATACTCCACACGAGAATAATTACAATTTATTAGATACTAACTTTATTTCTTCTTCTCTGTTTACAATCCTTTAATCTATTTTGAACAATTTTTTAGTATTTCCCAGCTACTCAATACAATCTCTTTATTTCTCAATAACCTTGTTCGTCGGCCATTCCCTTGTAAATCGAAAGTCAGCTCAACTTTTCTTCAAAGCTTATTCGACTAACTGATTCGAAAAATACGACCGAGCGACTGCTATATACCTTTTATGATCACTTTCATAGATTGAAAATCGAAATGATGTGGATACTTCCAGCATGTAATGTATATGAAAATGAGCTCGAGTGGCATGCAACCGCTGACTTATCGCAGTATTCATAGGAAGTAATAGTATTGATAAAACAGTATAAACAGTGGAGTCGGTAAAAAGAAAGGCCATAATAATAAAATATGGACACTAAACATGCGGCAGAACATACATTACGGTGAGATTTCTCTGCCTTGTGTTCGGGAAACTGCCGACAGAGGCGATCTTCAAGCACTTGCAAGATTGTTCTTTCCACATAATAGTTGATGATCAAGATTTCTTTTTCATAAAACCCTGTTTATGTTCTACACGGTGTAAAAGTGGGCCCACTCTGTTGTCCAGCTAATCAACCACTACCTAAAATCTCAGTCAGGCATCTCTAGAAAAAAATTTGCAATTCATTTTTAGATTCCATCATTATGCGAACAGAACACGAAACAGTTTTGAAGTGATAACGTCTTATAGGAGGGTAAACCGCTTCGTTACCTAATACGTTACAGCGGAGGTATGTCTGGCCTCCCTTTCCTGCGATGATATTATATGTTATATTAATGGAATCACATTTTTGTTCTGTAGAAATATTAGGTTTTAGCAACGTTAATAATTTTTTCATTTTCATCTTAGACATATTCATAACAAATATATCTGACAGACGTGTTTTGAATTGTGGGTATCACCGAAATATTAGTGATGAAAAAAATATCTGCAGATTCACATCCGTGCACCCTTGAAACATGCTTTCAACAAGTAAATATCACATGAATTCAAAATCATCAATGTTTCAAAAATTGATTATCTACTTGATTTTCGTAGATGCGACAAGATTCAATTTCCTTTAGTTCTCTTTAACTTTTAGTCGTATCGATTTCAGCAGAACAGGTATAGAACGCGCCAAACTTGATGGCGAGCGATCGCGCAGGTACAGATTCTCTCAACAAAATTACTATTGGATTACGATAAGCCCCTTGCCGGCCAGTGTCGTACCTATGATTAGTTTTAATCAGGGTAGCAAATGGAACATGACTTCTTTGTAATTTCTTTTCATATTTTATTTAGTAGTACAGGTAGTAGTGCAGATTATATTATGTAATTATTGTAATGTGATATTAGTGCCAAAATTTTTCTTTAATCTGATATGAAATTCAATATTTTAGAAATTTAACATGACTTGAACTTTAAACTGCAGAACACAATATTCAAACATTAAAATGAACTTGACTTATGTCATTTGCTTATTTAGCGTTCTATGCTTTGACAAGTGACAATTTGATACTACTATTCTATGAACGAACCGCTTGTACTCATTTATATGAAATAATTATCGTTAAAATGATTCTTGATATGGATTTTCACAATGTATTCTACAAAAAAACAGATGGATAGGAATCACGTTAATCAAGTGGAAGTCTTTCAATTCACAACAATAATAATAGAAGTGACACAAAAAATCATCCAAAAACAACCCATTTGATGACTTTACATGAAACATCGTACGAGAACAAACTAGAAGCTATTTCAGTAGTGGAATAACAAATGACATGGTAAATTGATTCACCATTGCGCGGTAATTTGATCGCCATGGGCAGCTAACTACTTGAATGCCCTAAAAAAGATATCAGATGGACTTCGTTACTAGCCGCGATATGGAATAGCCGCATGTCCTAAAGTGCTGCATAATGAAAATAAATGAATAACAGAGAACATGCGATTGGGATTCGCTGTTGAGGATTGCCATTACAAGCTCACCGGTGCTACTTCGGTTTTCGAATTATAACAGTGTGGTCTGCAATAAAAGTTGAAGACGCTCTGTGATGACAAAGGTTAGCTTTGCTATAGGGATCATTGTTTGTCTTGGATAAGTGGAGTGGAGTTTTCTGTCGATTTCATAGATGGGTCTTTATAGACCACTTACGAATATACTCAGTCATGTCACAATAAATACACTTGAGTCAAGCAATGCATTTGTGGTTCAGTCTGGGACAGCTGATGAAAGCTATGGTGGGTCGAAACAGGGCTGTCTTGTGTTGGATCATGCAAGGCCATAGCCAGAAAACAATTTCGGGGGGGTTTGGTTTGGTGGAACAGTAGAAAAATATGAAATATAAAAATAACGAAGGAAAGAAAATTGTGTCACATGATCATATATATTTATTAGAAAACCATTACAGAAATATTAACATCTTTTCACAAAATCAAATTTAGTTTTATAGCTTTCTTTGCAGAAAACAAAGCAATTACGTCAATTCTACGGTGGATTGACATTAACGCCAAACCGTTTATAGTCTAAATCGTTCCTGGCTTGTGGAGTTTCTTGAATAAGTTTTGTGGCGTTTCAGGGAAGAGAAAGTCCTTTCAGGGGTACATGTGGAAACAGGTAGTGTCGCCAAGATCTTTGAAAGTTTGTACGCACATTGCCATAAGGTTTTTCCATTGTGTTTCGGGGAATTTTTTTTCAATATTCTCTTTCAAGCACTTGGTTCATTTTGCCAAGGACTTGATAAAATTCCTAGGGGATTTCATAATACCAATAGTATATGTATCTGTAGAGTAGGGAGGGTGAGTCTAGGCCCACAACACTTAGGCCACATGTGACCCATTGTACATCCTCCCAATGAGTTGTTCTCCTAAGTCATCGTCGATCCTGTTCTTTCCAGAAAGGTGGACAGGTCACTAGTAGACATCTCCTTCATATCGGCAGGTGCAGGCCAAAACTCGCCAAACACACGATAACTCCGGACACTTGTATAGGACATGCCTGACAATCTCATCTTCCTGTTCACACATCCTGCATGTAGGTGTGTCCACTAGCCCCATATTATGGAGGTGTTTTCTTAGTTGACAGTGGCCAGTCAGAAATACTACTGTTAAGCGTAGATTTTTCCTGGTCATCGCTAGATAATTCTTCCCTGGGCTTCTCGTCATAGGATCATTCTCAATTGACCCATTCCTACTTCGAGGTTCAAACCAGCCGTGAACAATCGTAACGTGGCCAGTAACACAACCTTCTTAACGTACAGGTCCAGAGGGGTCAGATCAGTAATTAATTCCATTGCCGCGGTTGGTGTTATTCTCATGACTCTTGTGAAGTTTAAACAAGCCAATCATTGTATTTGATATAATTTTTGGACTGCCGTTGCTTGAAGAACTTTCGGGGGGTGGGGTTAATCCCCCTTGGGATCATGGACGTTTTGTTTTTGGGCTCTGGTATTTCAAAAAGTATTACTGATAGAAGTAAACGTCATATTATTTTCTATAACAGTTATTTGAATAATAAATTACCTATATATCTTGGTGATTCAGTCGTATGAGACTTCAATAGTGAGCAGGAGATTTGAGTTATTAATTTAATCAAGTTAATTTGGTGTTTTCGAATGTTTCAATGTGGAAAATAATCACAAAATATTTTCTGACAAAATAGTTCACGAAAACTGATGAATGTCCAAAATTTCAATGCAATTCTCCGAGTTACTATTACAAAACTACCCTACACTTGAAGCAATTAGTAGACAACATGTTTTCAAAATGTATAGTGAAATGAGCAACTACTAGAAATGGTTGAAATTGAAAGTCTCGAAACAGGAGATTTTTCATATATGAATTCTACGACCAAAAGTAAATCAATTAGGAATATTTCAATGTTATATCCGAAAGACTTTGAATTGATTATCGGGGAAAAAGTTATCTGAATACTACAACCGTACGTAAACCAGTAATGAACCCAACTCTATATGATATTTTAGAACTATAAGTTGACAGAGCCAGGTCGGTAGCCAGGCGGTTCGACGTGGGTGCTTTGTTCACTCGGTCAATCGGCCGATGTGTCTCTCGATGGTTCAAGCTGCAGGCTGAACGATCGATTTTCACTTGCTATCGTCTAACCCGTGTTAAGAATCACACGTTAAAAGGTAAGACATCGTTAGTCCTTAGCTCGCAAAAGTTCGACTCCTGAGGGTTGTGGCTCGTAGGGGTGCGATAGCAGGTTAACGGAAAACATATTTGCAACATATATCCACATATTGGACGATACGCAATAAAAACCGTTCGACCCGCTGTAGCGCTCGAACCATCATTCCATATAGTGTAAGTACGATTGAATGAGTAGAACAAACCCCGTATAATGAATACTAGACTACTTTTCCGAGTTGGAAAAATAATCTGATTCAATTGATTTTATAGTTTTTGGATCGGCATCTCAAACCGTTCGAGAGATGGTGAATAGACTAGTTTTTCGGATAGACGAAGGAAAAAATATACAGAGGACCATGAATTTAAAAAAAAACATTTTTCTATTGTGAACAACTTCATCAAGCGAGATAATTGGCATAACTATACTATCAAATCTAATAATACTTATACTCTGATTCACCCCAGTCTTGCCATGACAAATCCACATACTGAATTATGTACAGTACCAAGGTTTTATGCCGTCACAATAACACGGCTCAAACTCAATCACGGAAGTTTTCCCGCACATTTATTTAGAATAGGCACACACAACACTAGGTTATGTACATGTGATGATAACTCTGTAGCGGATTTGAACCATTTATTTTTTGCATGTGAAAACCATGTTCAAGAAACAAAACCTACTGTCCACACTTACATCCCTCAATATCCAACTCCCGGTAAACATTACAAGCCTTCTAGCAATGGAAAACAAGTTGTTCTGTGATGCACTGATTAGGTTTGTGATAAAAAGTAAAATAATTATATGACTGACTACCTATATCCAACACTCTGTGGCAAAGGCATAATTCCAATGCCAATCCTCCCACACACACACACAACTTCATCAAATTGAAAAAGTGGAGATTCGCTCTGATAACCGTAGTTACTGCTAATGGTCACAATTATGTTCTAGACCTATTACTACTGAACATTTTAAATCGATATCACACCCTAAGCTGCTTTCTATCGCGTCACGATATCAAAAGTAAAACGCCTGGAATAAATAAACAACTCCAATAAACACGTACTTCCCGAAGAAATATGTCAAACGGTCGACAACGAAAATGAATTATAAAGTTCTCGGAACATGGCGGTCACCGAAGCCGAAGCAATCCCAAACATTACAATACAAAATATTCCGAAGAACATCAAGAATGTTATCATATTAAGAGAAAATGACCATTAACTTGATTTACCAGTTATATAAACTGTAGAGAAAGAATTTATAGCAACTGGAAGGAATTTAATGGTAATATGTGATATATGCACCTGCGTGCAGGGTACTTTATTTCACTCTCTCGGCCCCGACGGACATACATCACGTGGTTAATAATCATGTTCCAGCTCGGTTTTAATCAACATAAATCCAGTCAATGGTTTCTGATCTTGGCGATACGATACATTCAATTGCATTCAATAACAATAATTATTACTACTTGTAAGGATATTTTTCAGAATCGGGAAGAACTACATAACAGTTTTTTTTTTGTAATATATGATGGATAATGATTGCACCACTCTATATTTTTGTAGTGTGAATCAAAATAACATTCTATACTGTAAATCAAATACACTAAGTATCTCAAGTAAACAATGTGATCAGTTTTTTTATTTTTGGCCCTGTTCTGAATTCATTGACTTCTGTATTCTCATTCAACCGTAATCTGAATAATAATCGGAGACCAATTGTTAGAGTGCTGTAGTATCGAAGGATTCGACGGTACCACGGGCATCGGATTAGTTATAATAAACGCTTGGAAATTGTTATTGTGTTGAGTTTATTTGCTGTTGTTATTATTGTTTTCAGTTTTTGTAGTTGGTTATAAGTAATTCACCACAAAATATTCTATAATAACCTTAAATTTCGTTTCATATGATCGCACGCCTATGGTAAAAGAACGAAATTGGCTCCGCACTTCGTTTCGAGGTCACCGAGAACTTTGTGAATTTATGAATGAAAGTAGAGGGAGTGAACTTACTGGTTGATTTTTGCTATGCCTGTGCGATGAAAGGTTCATTTTGAATTGCATGTGTTATCTATGTTTTTTTTAGAGAAAACACTTTTTGAAAAATCGGTAATAAAAAAGTTTTCTATTGATTTGGAAACAATTTGAGAGACACTGTGCAAAAAGTAGAAACAGGTTTAGATGTTTTCAAAAAGTTGGTTTACTTATCATTCTTTCCAATGAAGATAGAATAATTATTTCAAATGGAAATTATAGGATACTATATATTTTTTGAAAAGTACATTTTTGAAATATTTTTTTAGAAATATCAACTCAAACAGAATTACTATATTTAATTGGAAAAATATCATTGATAGTCATTACTTTACTCGGAATTGAAATTTTATTTCTCACATATCTAAATGATTCAAGCGATGTTGAAGAATTTTTCAAAATAGACTTACTTGAATTATTTCAAATTAGATGAATGTACAATGAAACTCGAATTAATGTGTATGAAAATCGTTAATTAGTAAGTGTAGTGAATGGTCATTCCATTTTTAAATCCGTTTTTGAGTGAATACTTTTGATAACCTGATGAAGTCAGTAAATTTTCTTCAAAACAATAAAAAATTGAGATAAATAAATAAATTGTAACATCATAACAACAAAATGGTGTAAAATAATCGTATTAAACATTTTTCTAATGTATTTCAACAGTGAATAACCTTTAATTTTCGAACAATTTTTCATTATTTTTATTCCAGATTCTATACTCCTCCCGTAGTAGATATTTCTCATCTCGAAATTACAAAAAAAAACTTTCAAAATCAATTTTGACTTCAGTCTAGATGCATATATTTTTCTCCAGTACGATGTATAACAGTGAACATACACCCTCGCGTTCTTTTCACCCCTAATCATATCACAAAGCGTGTTATTGTTTCATAATGCCTTAGAGACACCATGAGGCAATGCACTGTTTTTGGAAGACTGCAATCTGGCAAAATGGGGTGGCAACACGCTGGTCTGCACACCAGGACAATGAACTATTGATTGGAATATTATATTTATCATTCGGATATAGGGTTTTTCATTTTCAAATTCACATATGGCAGAAATGGTGTCTGCACAATCATTTTTGTTTCTGCATGTGGTTTACAGCCGAAACATGGAATGAAATGTGGTTCTTCATATGGCCTCTATATATGGCCTCACGACCATATATATGAATCATTAGATTTTTGCGGTAGGTCTTTCACATTGACGAAAGATCAATTAACCTATACATATTCATACATACGTATACACACATACACATATATAGATGAAGCTATTTGAGATTTATAGTATCGATACTTTTTCATTGAAGAAAACTTAGTCTACAATGAAAACAAAGACCTCTGTAGAACAGACTTCTGGTCCTATTGCATTATTTCAGAAATTATTCTTTATATCGATCAGTTGATGGGTGAATGATCCAGGAAGGTTTCAAATCCAATTTTTCAGTTCTTTCTTGAATAGGCTTAGCGAGTTGATTCTTTTCAGTTCACTGGGAACTGCATTGTATACTCTGGGTTTTACTGTTTTATGATTTCAAAATGTTTTTCTTTATCATTAACACAAAAGCTAACGAACAAAATGTGTTTCAGGTGCGAAGCCATGTTGCGTCTTTCAAAAGAACGTGTTTTTTCAGTGTAGATGAGCCCTTCTCCTGAATCTTCAGCAAATCATTAACTTCTTTCTCATTAGCTCAAATATGTGACGCTACAAAAAAGGATACGATTACTGTAACTTCCAAAGCACATAACTAAGTATTTTACAAGCCGACATTAGTTTCCAAAGTTGAATTGGTCCTCAGAATCATTCTGGTGCTTCGGGCCTTTCAAATATTCCTCCTGAAGGTGCAAATTCATGCTTTCATGCATATTTTGTGACAAGATCAATTATATAGAAAATGATCAAATAATTATGAAAAAAATGTAAACTTACAAATCTCAAACACACAACCCTAAACCTCCGATCCCGAATATACCAAACCTCAAACCTAATGTTTCCATACCTGCAACCTCACAATCACAAAAATACAAACTCATGATAGCTGAATCCGCAAATTGCAAACCCACAACAAATTCTATCTTCCAACTCTCATATCCAAAAGATCCCCTCAAACGAACAATACCTCTTAACTCATTATCTTCAACACCACAATTTTCAAACTCACAAGACCCTATTACGATTCCAAACTCACAAATCCCGAGCTTAGTTCAAATGTTGCCATGCTTAAGTTAAAACTGGTGTAACTAACGCGATTTTGTGCTATAAATTTAAGCAAAAGCTATTTTAAAGATCGTTCAAGTTTGTAGAAACTTCGAAGGGAAAATCAAGCAGTGAATTTATTAAATTTGGAGTGCCTCAGGAATCTATACTCGGACCCTTATTATTTTGCGTATACACTTGTGATCTAGTTTCTGTTTTAAGACATTGTAATTCACATATGTTTGCAGATGACACACAACTCTATCATTTAACCCAAATGACGTTGCTACTGCTGATCGAAAATTGAATGAAGATCTAGCTCGTCTTATTTCAGCATCTGAAGCTCATAACCTCAAAATTAAGTGAAACAAAACTAATCTGCTTGTTTTTGGTATTAATCGTAGCTTGGTGGAAAGATATATTAATATTTTTGTTGGTGATACAGTAATATTCCCCACGAACGTGGCAAAAAATTTAGGTAGGTATCGAAATGAACGTGGTTTACAGAACATGTCACAAAATATGTTCAAAGAAGTTACGTGAGTTTGAGAATAATTCATCCACATCGTCATTTATTACCAATAAGTTTGAAAATAAAATTAAAAAAACGCTTGTGTTGAATGATTTTGCACATTGTGATGTTGTGTATGGTTCATGCCTGGATGAAAAAGACATTTTTAGAATTGAAAGAGTTCAAAAATCATGTCTTAGGTATATATATGGTATTAGAAAATATGACAGAATTTTATATAAACGTAAATAGAATCATATTGTTCAAACAGTTCCAATTCTTATATGAATAACTATCACGATCATATAACTGTGGCTTCGCTATTCTTTTCAGTACCTCCAGATTTCCTAAACAATAACCCTGCTCAAAGAAGCATGTCTGTATTCAACGAAAGATTGTAATTTTATGTCGATTTATGAATGAGAAGTGCTTATTATTCAAATTACCATACTACTCCACGATACAAGAATACTAAATTTTCCGAACCTTTTATCCAAACAGTCGAAACAGCCTTCGAATTTGCGTAAATTACTATTTGGGCGCCAAAGAATCGGTCGTTTACCCGTCGAAAGGACTGTAGGTATACAGTGTGTTGAAGAATTCACCACCAGGGTAATATTGAAATCCAATTGAATTTTCGTTACTTCCGGATATATTGTCTGAAATATTTCTATGGCCATACATACTTTTTATTGATCATAAAATGTGTCCAAACAGCTAACATTCAATTTAAAATCGAATTCAAACCGATAAAAACGATATAAAACTTCAAGAACCATCTATTTCAACCTTGATTCTAATGACACAAAACTTTTATGTGAGTATTATTTGAATAGAATGCATCATTAATGACATTTTTATGTTCTTGAAATTTGATATTATGCTTTGATATGTTATCTATATCTATTTCGAGCAATGTCGAACAGTAATCTGAATTTCTGTTCAACATTCATCTTTTCGAATTAAATTCAAACTCAATACTCTTTTCAATAATAGTACAGTCTCTCAGGAGTTTTTACTGAGAAAATAGAGTGTAAGAACCAATTTATAATCAGATGAAGAACTAAATAAC